AAAAGTTGGTTAGGGAGATTAAAGAGATTCAATACATTGTACAGGTTGTATCGAAACGGTTCATAATGCCACAGATGATTCAACAAACATGGTTAGATACACAAAATCTTCTTTAGCAAAATAGGCTTCATGTGAAACACTCATACGATTGTAAGTTTGTGCTGCTTCGAGCAGATTCAGATTGAGCAACACTAAGTATTTTTAAATTCAGATGATTGGTTTTGTTCTGGATTTGTCAGCACTAACCCGAAACCCTACTCGTCGGAATGCCGAGCCGTGCCGAGCCTGTAGCCTACCTCAGCTGGGGACGTGTTCGTGGCCGTAACATGCGCTGCTCTGACGACTCGAGACAAGGAAAATTGCTACACGTTTATTGATGGCTTGAGGCCCAACATCCTTGCTGCCAACGCATACCTGCCTAGAAGTAGGCTTAGATGGCTGAGAGCACAGACGTAAAAACAGATGGTTCATCAGATACGGTCTCGAGGGCAAGCCATGTGAGCAGTCATGGAGCTCTCAGCCGGGCGCTTCAGAATCCTCAGACTCGAGAAAGGTTTAGAGATTCGTGCTCCCACGTAGACGGGCCGTTTCACTTACAGCTTCAGATTCCAGGTTGAAAGTGTAGGTTTCGGTTTCAATTATTGACGTGTGACGATGGGAGTTTAAGCCGTTTCCCGAGTGGTTGGCCTGGAAGTGCGGTATCGAGTGTAGTTATGTAGATATGGGTGTCGGCTGATTGAATTGGGATACAGTACAAGCTTTTCGCATCTTTTTGCTAATATATTATCACATCACAACAACTGCGAAAACTAGTCTTACGTTGTGCGTGCTCCAATCATGCTTAGAACAATAATTTTTCTGATTACTGTAGCAGAAAGAACCGGTGCCCGACCTTCTGTTCTCGCGCCGGTACGTTTTTTTATAAAGTCCCTCTGTACTCTATACATGCAGGCTTGGTGCTCAATTCCACGGACAGGGTCGTGGTAACAATGGGTTCACGCGTGTCAGGTTTGGGGTCAGGGTCAAATTCGCGGCTTTTAAAGATGTGTAAGAGCCGGCTTCAGTTTCTAGGCTGTCGCATTTTTCGCGAAGTCTCAGTACAGTGCTCTTAAATTCAGAGTCCAGTGCGCGTCGTTGCATTTCCTAGAACAAATTCGCATCCCACGTCACGGGTACACAACAGATTTCTAGGGCAATGCGAAAGGCAACACGCCATGCCGCGCGCTAAAGGAGTCACCGTCGACGTGGCTCTGTGCCGCTCCTTTGGACGGTGGTTTAGGCTTTAGGATTTAGGGTTTAGGGTTTCCCGCCTTTTACGTCTCAGTCATGCGCTGCTGCACCTCCACTGTGCCCGACGAACTCTATTCAATCCTGAACCGCCTTGTCTCCTAACCGTGTACTCCTTGCCCGCTAAACAAAGCTGTTCCCTTGAATCCTACAACCTTTCCCCCAAAACCTTGAACCAGCATTGTATGAAATTCTTTGTGTCCAGGTGCGGGTGGATTTAAACGGGTTCAAGCTTTGAGGTATCAAGGGCTGGGGCTTCAAGTTTCTAGAACTGCAGTTCAAGGGTTGAACGATGGGGATCCTAAGCCGAGACCTTGATTCCGAACCTACCGAACAGATGTAGGTTTTGGGGTGAGTCCAACTTGGGACCCTCGGATTCAAGGTTAGCTTTTAGGATGAAGACTCCGTGGGTGAAGACAGCGTGGTGTGAGGAGGCTCATCAGTCTCGCTGCACCACCCCTAAGCAGATTTCCCCTCAATGCCAGCGCTCTGTTCTGGGTGCAGCACACAGGACTGTCAAGAAGGACGAGATCGACCTGTAGTAAGTGGGCCGATTGCTTGTCATCGCTTGCTTGTGAGAAAAAGTAAGATCAGTAGTTGGATTCTGGCTGGATGGTGCCGGTCGTGCGGTGGCATAGGTGGTGACATGATGGGCGCTGGGGTCGTGGGTGCGCTTGTTGGCGCTGCGAGAGCAGCCACAGAAGCGGTGTAGCTGCCGGCGGAGGCGGGGATAAGGCGGAACAGTTGGTGATGGTAAATGTGGTGGAGGTGATAAAGTGGGCGAAGTTGGGTGAAGGTGAGTGGGTGCAAAGGCGGTAGGTGTTGTGGGTGTGAAAGCATGTTCCGGGAATGTGCGCATGCCAACTGGTAAGGTGGGGCGAAGCTGTATAGCATGTCGTGGATGGCGGGCAAGGAATGTTTGGTCGTGGGTACGTGAGGGTTCGGGCTGAGGATACATCTCGCTTTGCAGGCGTGCTCACCCATAAGTTCGAACTGATGGCAGACAAGACTCGCTGGTATCAAGTCAAATGCAGATGGCCCCACAGCTACGTGCTAAATGGAGCATAAGTGACACGAGGTGGTTTTGGTGCAGCTAAGTTACAGGAACTTTTCAGTACCTCGTTGCAGTTGACAGTTGCTGAATTCCAGAACTCACGAAGAAAACTGTAGGGCCACATGTCCTCACTGATCCTAGTTTTGATGCGGATGCTGCTTATCAGTACATCCTGCCTCCTTCTCTCCTCCAAGTTGTGTTTTCTTCCTCAAAATGTGCCTTTGGCTTTGCGTCGAGGGAATCAGTGTGACGTTTACATTTTCAAACCCCTGTTGACACCAACACGCGCGAGGAACCACCGGGAAGGATCTCAAGGCAAATTTTGCAAGACATGAGCTTCGCTAAGTCCTGCCTAGCATGGTAGAAAGAATCTTCGAGGAGGCTTCGTAAACCTGTGACATGCTCGTATCCTACAGTTTGACACGACTAACAAAGGTGCTTCACGGGAGTCTTATTCCAAGCTTGAGCTGGCTGCCGTGACAATCATTTGCTGTGGACGCGCTCGGCTCAAGCAGCTGTGGTATGAATGCATGTTTCAAGTTTCGAGCCTAGCATCACAAGCATCAACGGGGACAATACAGTGTGGAGAGCTAGGATGTCGAGCCAACATGAACGAAGTTTAGACAGTCGTTCATATGACATGAGCTTCTGCATTTATGTGCCTCACGCAGTCTCGTGAATAAGCATGAGAATTTGATTATGATTCACCGCGGCCTCGCTCAACAACTTTAATCCAACTTGGTGCTTGGGAAGCGTTGCGGCTCAGCTCGCAATGGCAAAGCGACGTGCAAAGTCCTGGTTTTCTCAACCCGGCAGCTCCGGGGGAACAAAAAAGGCAAGGGGGGCAACCTGGACATGGAAGCGCAGCAATCTTCCTTTTGCTTTGGCGCCTTCTTGCTCATTGCTGCAGTTGAGTTGTCAATTCTTTTGTGAATTTGCATTGTTTCAGTGCGCATTTGCTCGGACCAACATACCGAAGCCGTGCTTGGACACTTTGCCAGGCCAGATTAGAAGCGGCACTTCGACAAGCTTGCGATCCAGGCAGGACTGGTTGCAAGTGGTTTCTTCTCAGTTGGCGACAGAGGGATATTGACTTTTGACGTGCAAACGTAGTGAACAACCGGGCTCTTCCCCACAAGCTCCGTGGGATTGGTACCAGATTAATGTTTTCCACGGTGGTCAGGTGTTGAAAAGTCAGTGAAAAGGCGAAAGAGAGAAGGTCGCGGTAAGCAGAGTGAGCGAGAGAGCGAGTGCACGTGTCTTGAAGCGGAAGCAAGAACAAGCAGAGAGGCGTTCAGCTTTGCTTCGATGTAGGCAGTAAGAAAGAGAACAATGGAAGATCAAAGGCGACATTACTGCTTAGCGCATGCAACCGCTACTGGGGAGTGGGGAAGAAGAGAGAGGAAAGATGGTTAGAGTTAGAAATGGGAAAACGAATAAGGTAAGGCTTAGAATCTAAGAAGAAACGAAGCAGAGACTCAAGGAATGAACCAGACCCCGGGGTAGGAAAATAAGAAACGAAGGAGGCGACAAGGCGAGAAAACACCTGGGATACGGTGATGAAAAAACAACAGACGAAGCAGACAGGACAACACAGCAGCCCAAACTCTAGCCCTTTAACGTGTTTGTAGTGTGGCCCCCAGAAGAAGAGAGAATGAGAAGAGGGGTAGAAGCGGAAAAATTGAGAAGAGGGTCACGTACACCCATGGCATCAAGGTGACGATTGTTTGTGAGCCAGAGAGAAGTCGCGGACGAGGATCAAGATGAAGGGTTGTGGGATGCAAACATGCAGGAAGGTGTGCGGACAGTGTGCGCACGGTGTGCGCAGGAGCGGGAGAAGCCGTTAAATCAAGTGGAACTAGCCTGAGGGCTGTTGTGCTCATCTGGGAGAGGCAGGGGGCGGTTGCAATCACTGGTGCAGCTAAATCAACTGCTGATGCATGTAAGCCCTTCAGGCAGCCACACATGGGATCGCTGTTTTAATCGTACCACGCTCCGTGGAGGGTTGGATCCAGCCTCCTCTTGGCAGGGCTAGACCCGCACGGCCTTCTTTCCCATGATGCCAGTTGGCTTTCGTTTGGCCTGGCTTGTTCTTCAAGTTAGGGTGGTGCAGTGGAGAAGGAAAGGATCAAAGTGGAGGGAGGCGCGGATCAAGGCCAGCATGTTGGAAGCTTGTGCCGAGCCAGCGACATTGCCAGCTTTTGTCTTGCTTTGCGAGTATGTTTGGGGCCAGACAGAATTTGACATTGCCTTTACTTGTCTGTACCATGGGTTGGCTTGTTTGTCAGGCTTTGTGCCCTTCGGTGGCAGCCCACCTTGCCGCCTCATCCTCAGATTGTTAGCCCATCGTTGCATTGCAAACGTTTTAATTTCTGCGCGGGGTTTGGCTTGCAGCGTTTCGCGACACTCAGCGGTACGGTTTGAACGGTGTTTGCGCATTCGTGATGGCATTTGGCCTCTGAGCAGTTGGCATGTCGTTGTGACGGTTCGCAGCACTGTGTGTCTTCTTGGCGACGCTGCGAGTGGTTCCCCATGCCGCCAGACGCAAGAACCCTGCTGACCAAGGGTTTCAACGTGCAAATGGGGTGAGCCTTCAGGCCTTTCAACGTGCAAAGCCTTGGATGCATTTCTTGCAGCTGATGGCCAGGCCGTTTCGGCCATGAAGCAGTTGGTCAAGACCTTTTGTACCATCCCCCGGAGCTTATACATGCAGACGGATGATGAACTGGCGCAGGCTCGCTGTTGGGATTGATGGTAATCCTCTGTTTTATGTTTGGTTATTGACAGGAACTCGGGAAGATCTGCACCGCAGAAGCTGATGTCGTCAAGTGGCGTGACTTCGCCCGCGCCAGGCGCTCAGTAGATCCTTGCTCAGCTTGAATAATTACCCCACGGGTAGCTGAGGTGTTCGAAAGCTTTCATCCAGGCGTTGCCATTGAGGCTGGCAAACTTGCTTTTACTACTTGTGTCGAGTTTTTTTCAAGTGCTGGCCACGATTCCAAGGCTGTGTCCGAGCTTTGGACCTTTCTTGGTGGGGGTGAGGCGGGAATCAGAGCCGTATGCTGCAAGTTGCAACGATGAATTTCTGATGGCGGCAGGAGCTCCCGCTACACACTTTTTTTCGGTACTGCCTCCCCGGAGGGGAGCGCTTGCCCTTGGTGCGCCCGGCCCGCAAATGAATGTCCACGAAAGCCAGGAACTCAATGTACTGAAGATAGGATTCACAAGCACAGATTAGGCGTCTTGACAAGTGTGCCATGTTTTCATTGAGTCAAGCAGTGCTGCGCAGGTATCCCTTCTCTCCGTCGAAGAAGAAACGAGGAGGATGGCTTGCGCGGACGGCGAGGCAAAAAGCCGGTCATGTGACTGAGTTTCTCTTGGGTGCTTGTTAGCATGTAGAGAACGAAGGCATGGAGCCGCTCAGAAAATTGACGTTGCCCACCAGTAAGCCTAGTCTTGTCCATGTGACGCGCGCACTTGCAGACAGCCCCCGACTTTCAACGCCTCGTCAAGTTAACCAGCGACCATACGACTGTAGGTGATTAGATACCTGCGCTGCATGAAGCATGCTTTGTTTACTCACTCAAGTCGCCTGCCCACCCACCCACCCACCCACCCACCCACCCACCTACCCACCTACCCACCTACCCACCTACCCACCTACCCACCTACCCACCTACCCACCTACCCACCTACCCACCTACCCACCTACCCACCCACCCTCACCCACCCCCACCCCACACCCACACCCGACCAGAAAGGCACCTGGATGTGTAGCATTCAGTGTTTCACCCAACCCACCCAACCCAACCAACCCACCCAACCGACCCAACCCACCCAACCCGCTTATTGCACTTGCTTGAATTTGTTTACAAAATAGCGTTGAGTCGATTCGCACAGGTTTCGCACTCGTATCGACTACGTCATTGCCTGTACCGGTTTAGCTGGGCTCACGCTGTAGCCATTACGTTGCGGAACCTGGGAGGCGCAGGCGGCGTCCAGGGCTGAATTGTCGAAGGCCGGAGTTCTGGGAGTTGCACTTGACAGCTGCTGTTGTTTGATGTTGTTTGAACCTTTGTGCGTCTCGCTAAAGGAGATCTGTGAGCTTCAGAACGAAAGCCGATCTGCCAAGGCTCATGCGGCATTGAAGGCAGAACATGCTGAGCTTGATCGAGCTGTTCTGGGCGTGGTGGTGCAAAGCATGTCACTTTCCGCGGAACAAGCCCGTCCAGAACAGTCAGAACAGGTGAAGAAGCCGTCGCATACCTGTGTGTGGTGTCGCGCGGAGGATGCCGATCATGCCCTGGTCCCCTGTGGACACGTGTGTTATTGCCACGGCTGCGTGCAGAAATTGAGAGGTGACTGGAAGGAGAAGTGCCCGGTCTGTAGGCGCCAGTACAGGGAGCTTTTAAGACTGTTTCATTAGCAGCTAAGCAGCCGTGCACCGCTGAAAATGATTCAGCCGTCGAGGAGCTCCCACGAGGAAGGCATAGAGTCTTTGTATCGCAAAGGGCTGCGGATGTCCGTGAGTTTGCTATGCAGTCTTTTCGATGGGCTGTTATTATCTACATCCCGCAGCCCTTTAAGGGAATTGGCATGCATTGCCCACCTCCTTTCAGGCAGGTCCAAGGAAGTTGATCGGGAATGGATACTTGTCGGACTTGGAGCGCCTGAATTGGGTTGTAGGTAGGTCATGCTCACAGTTTCTATGGACATGGTCTTACGGGTGCTCTCTGGCTGTGTGGATGTCGCATTTTTGCACGGCCTTGTGCAACGACATGAAATAAGCATGATGTGCCGTTCACTGTTCCGCCACTGTCAAAGAGACAACCCGCCCACTGTTCCTCGCAGGAATTTCGGGACGCAGCGTTCTGCACAAGTTGCGAGACAACTTGCAACGGGTCGATGTGAACAACATCGGACATGCATTTTGCGCATGGTTCACACAAAGGCCAGTCAGTCCAGAGAAACATCACGCCACTGGTTCTGCTCAACTGGTATTGAGGTGCATGCTTTTCGGCGGCTCGGCTGATCCACCGGTTTTCCTACAGGTATGCCCTGACAGTTCAACTATAGTAGGATTACACATGTAGATGGAGTTCGACGTCTCGATTTGTATTGAATAATGTCGTACAAAACTCGCTGTCGTCCTCTGCAGCAGACCTTGCACGCAAAACTGCTAAACTGAACCTTTAAATTGCAGGCTCGGGGGGCGACACAGTCCCCTACCATCCCCTACCCAACGAAAGAATTCATTTCTCCTGGATAAAGGTTCTGTTGTCGTCTCAGCCCGCAACCCCATGCCCTACACCTGAAACCCTGCCCCCTCCTAATGTTCGCCCTATAACTGGGTTGTGCTTTGGGATAATTTTCAATTTCCCTTATTTCCTTATAAAGGGAACCTATTCATAGATAATTTTCAAAGGGCTTAAAGCACAACCCAGATAATTTGCAAGCGACTTGTTGCTGTTTGTTGTTTGGCTATGGGCAACGGCCTTGTTTTGTTAACAGTTTGCACTTAGTGTCCGGTCTTGCTGAGGCAAAGGACTCTCTGGGTTGGTACCCCAAGCCCGAAACCCCATTTCGGCAAGCCATTTCCTTTAGAACTAAATACGTTTGTTTGCTCTCCGCTGATGGCTCGAGATGTGGACACTGCCGACGACACCATGAGCTGTGGTGGGCCATGCCTGCAGCCAACGCATACAGCATGTGACCGCTGGTCGAGTATATAGGTCCAGGAGGCTGAGGACGCACATGCTACAGCGGAGGGCACAGCACAAGAGGTTTTTCTTGTGCTTAAGATAAGAGGTGTACAACAAAAGCTCTGTGTTTTCTGATTTGCGTGCCATGTCGAGAAATTTGGGAGTGCTCAGCCGGGAGCTTCAGAAACAGCTTGAGACAAGGGTTCGGCTTCAAGGGTATCTGGGATTTAGGCGTTGAGGTCTGGAAGTTGTGTTCCGGGGCTGCGGCTGTGAGCTTCTCTGTTTACATGTGATTCCAGCTTCAATCAAGCTTGAAGGTGTAAACATGAGCTGGGCAAGCTTGCGCGTCCAAGCACTGTAGAGAAGGCTATGGTGTTTCCCAGACATACGCAGATTCCTCGGCCATTTGCTTCCACGATGAGGGTTATGATGGGAGTTTGAGGCCAGCGGGAGGTTGGCGCCGATAGCCCGATGCGAAGCTTCAGCGAGAGCCGCATGTCGGTGCCGGATGGCCCTGTGTTTTGTTTGTGCCAAAGTCCAGTCCCATGTCATGCTTGCACAACGCACCTTGCAGGCAATGAGTCGCAGGACTTACTTGTTTGCAGCGTGCTGGGTGTTAACATTGACCACAAGCTGGAACGCATACTTCTCACAGCATGCTAGATCAAGAGGCCTAGCCCTACACACGGTCATCCACGGGCCTAGTACCTGTAATGCTGAACTCCGAAGTCACAAACATCAAAAACTTCATCTGTAGGGGCTCATGAACTATCGACATATATGCAATCCTCAGGATGTCGGACTTCGGTTGACCGAAAATCTAGTCAAGCCCCAAAACAACCTTTGAGCTTTGAAGCTTTGAAGCCGATCTTCTCGCACATTCCCCGAGGCTCCGAGCTGTGACTGCGGCAATTCCTCTCAGGTCTGGTCTTCAGCTGCTGGTTTAGACTAGATTGTGGTGTTGAGTTTAGGGTTCTTCGGCACTTTGCTGTCTGCGAGTGCTGCCTCGCATTTCCATTTCTTACGAGGGGTGTCTGTAGTCTCTGCCATGGTCAACCCTGCAGATGGGTGCAGGGCTTGGTGTTCTGTTTGGGGTCGGCAGAGGCAGGGGCTTTCAGGTTTCAATCCCATTTGTCCAGTTAGTGCTACTCTGCTTTAATCCTTAGAGTCTTACAGTTGTTGTAGAGTTTCTGCTTTGGATATACCCTAAACCTCGGCATCCTTTTCCGATTGTTAAGGCTCCGACATTGAGAGGGCTCTGCGAGCCGGGCGCTGGTCTTCAGGCTTCGAAGGGGTTTTAATCGTTTGGACTTCTGGAGGTCATTACCAGGGTATGTAAAACCCTGAGGGACGGATCCTTCAAAGCTCCACTAGACCCTAAACCCTAAACCGATCCGTGACATGTCTCCAGAGGGTTTGAACCTCTTCGGTATTTGCAAGCGTTGACAGGAGTAAGGCTCAGGACTAGCCTTGTTGGTGAAGATCGTGACGGCGGTTTGGTTGTTGATCCACCAATGTTGCTGCGGGGTTTCGGGCTGGGGCTAAGGGTTTGAGGATTGAAATTTCCAAGCTTGCGAATGACTCCGAATACTGCAGCTTTCAAGTCGCCCGGCCTCTTCAAGACATCCGCATCTTCCGCATCCCCAATAACACCCGGGAAACTCGAAAGGTTCTCAATGTAGCAAAAACGTATTACGTATGTCGTATTAGTATGTGGCTGCAGTGGGCTGTATCGTTACCCCTCCGAATAGGGCATTGTCTGACGAACGTGGAAATAATCATGAAAGTGGTTGAGCTCGTCGCTGCGATTGCTCAGAGAGCTGGACACACTACTGAATCATCACCACAAGTTATGGAAGTGGCTTCAGGCTGCTCGGCGGGACAGTGACCGTGAAGGCAGTCGTGTTTTGCTGCTGCGTCGGCACTCTCTGGAATCCCTAATTAGCCCCTAAACCCTGAACCTCAACACGGAGTCTTTCAAAGCGTTCGACTGGTCTCCCAGGGTAGTTGTTGGAGCTCAAAGGGCACTTTCGTGATTCTGGGCTGCATGGTAGCATGTATCCTTTTGCAAAGTAAAGTTTCGGATTCAGGGTTCCAGGGTTAATACAGGGGCCCCAACAATTACCTATACTATTTTGGAGGTTCCTTATTGTAAATATGGTATAATGTGGTGCAGCAGTAGTAGGGTAGTCCTACAGTCGTAGCACAGCAGGGGTATGGAGGTACAGTAGTAGTGGAGGTTTCGGAGGGCATTGGGTCTAGGATTTCAAGGGTGGGTAAGGCCTTTTTTGGTGGGACATAGGGTCTAGGATTGGTAGTGCACGGGTTTGGGAGCGTTTAGGGTTTACGGATGTTACCACTGACTTTTGTGCCTTTTATGGCGAATGTCGCTGCGAGAAGGGCCTCCCGGCCACATAAGACAGCAACATTCGCATAAACTTCTGCATGATTATCGCGCAACTGCTGCATAAGCGCAATAGCTATGCAGAAGTCAAGAGCTAACCAAGAGCAGACTTTCTGCATATTTGCAGAAGCTCGGTTTTGAGGTACGATAGACTGCATAGGCCCAGGGGTATATGCAGCAGAAGTTATGCGGAAGTGGCCCTTGAAGGTTTATGTCAGTGTGGTAGATATTGCAAGTTTCAAGGACACTGTAGGCTTGTAGCGCCAACGTCCACCCTTGGATTCTTGTATCTTTGTATGGCAGACTTCTTACAATATTTGAGAACTGTGTAAGTTTGCAACGCCAACGTCCACCCTTGAATGTTTGTACCCTTTGCATAGTAGACTTCGCAAATGTCATTCATACTGTAAGTTTGTAACGTCAGCGTCCACACTTGAATTTGTGTATCTTTGTATGGTGGACGTTGCAAGTTTCGAGGACACTGTAAGTTTGTAGTGCCAACATCGACCCTGGAATTTATGTATCTTTAAGTACCTTTGTATGGCAGGCTATGCAAATCAAGGACACTGTAAGTTTGTAATGCCAATGTCCACCCTTGAACTTGTGTATCTTTGTATGGTAGACTTTGCAATTGTTCAGGACACTGTCAGTTTGTAACTCCAATGTCCACCCTTGAATGTGTGCATCTTTGTATGGTAGACTTTGCAAATTTCAGGACACTGTAAGTTTGTACTTCCACCCTTGAATGTTTAAATCTTTGTATGGTGGACGGTGCAAATTTCAAGGACACCGTAAGATTGTAACGCCAAGATCCACCCTTACTTTTTTGCATCTTCGTTTGCCTTTGTATGCTAGACTTTGCAATTTCAAGGATCTTGTAAGTTTGTTTCGCCAACGTCCACCCTTGAATTTGCTTACTCTTTGTATGGTAAAATTTGCAAGTTTCAGGGACACTGTAAGTTGATAGCGCCAACGTGCACCCTTGAGTTGTCGTATCCTTTTATGGTAAACTTTGCAAATTTCAAATACACGACTTGTTTTTGTCGACAACGTCCACCCTTGAATCTTTGTATGGTAGACTTTGCAAAGTTTCAAGCACAGTGTAAGTTTGTAACGCCAACGTCCACCCTTGCGTTTTTGCATCTTTGTATGTCAGGTTGTGCAAAGTTCAAGGACATTGTAAGTTTGTAACGCCAGCGTCCACTCTTGACTTGTATATTTTCTGCATGGTAGACTTTGCAAATTTCAAACATATTGTAAGTTGTAACGCCAACGTCCTCCCTTGAATTCGTGTACCTTTCTATTGTAGACTTTGAAAAC